ATTGAATGGTACCAGCAGAGTTGAAAGAGCTTAAAGAGCAGTTGAAAGATCTCCTTGATAAGGGTTTTATTCGACCAAGTATCTCACCTTGGGGCGCTCTAGTCTTATTTGTGAGAAAGAAAGATGTCTCCCTTAGGATGTGTATAGATTACCGCCAGTTGAACGAGGTTACCATCAAGAATAAGTATCCTCTTCTGATAATTGATGATCTTTTCGATCAACTTCAGGGTGCTACTTGTTTCTCTAAGATAGACCTCAGATCAGGCTACTATCAGTTGAGGGTAAGGGAATGTGACATTCCAAAGACAACATTCAGGACCCGTTATGGTCATTACGAGTTCCTAGTTATGTCCTTTGGTTTGACCAATGTGCCTGCACCGTTCATGGATCTTATGAATAGAGTATTCAAACCTTATTTAGATATGTTTGTTATCGTCTTCATTAATGACATTCTAATCTATTCAAGGAATGAAGAAGATCAATCTAGTCATCTCAAAATAGTTCTCCAAACTCTAAAAGATAGAGAGTTATATGCCAAGTTCTCTAAGTGTGAGTTTTGGCTTGAATCTATGGCATTCTTAGGTCACATTGTGTCTGGAGAGGGAATTAAAGTTAATACTCAGAAAATAGAGGCAATGTAGAATTGGCCTAGACCCACATCTCCAACTGATATTAAGAGTTTCTTGGGTTTGGTTGGCTGTTATAGAAGGTTCATAGAGGGGTTCTCATCTATTTCGCCTTCTTTGACCAAATTGACTCAGAAAATAATAAAGTTTTAATGGTCTGAAGCTTGTGAGAAAAGCTTTCAGGAATTGAAAAAGAGGTTGACTACTGCCCTAATATTGACCTTACCAGAAGGTACGCAAGGCTTCGTGGTGTACTGTGATGCGTCTAGAGTTAGTTTGGGTTGTGTGTTAATGCAGAATGGCAAAGTTATAGCTTGAAAGTTCATGAGAAGAATTTCCCAACCTATGATCTAGAATTGGTTGTCGTAGTATTTGCTTTAAAAATATGGCGCCATTATCTTTATGGTGTTCATGTGGATGTGTTCATCGATCACAAGAGTCGTCAGTATGTGTTTACTCAGAAAGAGCTTAATCTCAGACAAAGGAGGTGATTAGAATTACTCAGGGATTATGACATGAGTATTCTTTATCACCCCGATAAGGCTAATGTTGTTGCTGATGCTTTAAGCATGTTGTCTATGGGTAGTACCGCCCATTTTGAGGAAGATAAGAAAGAACTAGCAAAGGATGTGCATAGACTTGCACGTCTAGGTGTTTGCCTAATGGATTCCACAGAAGGAGGAGTAGTGGCAATGAATGGGGCGGAATCATCCCTGGTGTCAGAAGTGAAAGAGAAGGAAGACCAAGATCCTATTTTGCTTGAATTGAAGGCAAATGTTCATAAGCAAAAATTATTAGCTTTTGAACAAGGGAGAGATGGTGTATTGAGGTATCAAGGTAGATTGTGTGTACCAAGGGTGGATGAACTCCAAGAGAGGATCATGGAGGAAGCTCATAGCTCCAGATATTCCATTCATCCGGATTCTACAAAGTTGTATTGCGATTTGAGAGAGGTTTATTAGTGAAGTAGTATGAAGAAGGGGATTGCAGAGTTTGTTGCTAAGTGTCCGAATTGCCAACAAGTTAAAGTAGAGCATCAAAGGCCCGGTGGTATGGCTCAGAATATAGAACTTCCAGAATGGAAGTGGGAGATGATCAATATGGACTTCATCACAATTTTACCAAGGTCTCGCAGGCAGCACAATTCAATTTGGGTGATTGTGGATCGAATGACCAAATCAGCTCATTTTTTACCGGTAAAGACTACCCATATAGCAGAGGACTATGCCAAGTTGTACATCCAAGAGGTAGTCAGACGTCATGAGGTGCCATTTTCGGTTATTTCAGACAGAGGTGCATAATTTACCGCACAGTTTTGGAAGTCATTCCAAAAAGGCTTGGGTTCAAAGGTGAACTTAAGTACTGCCTTTCATCCTCAGACATATGGGAAAGCAGAGCACCATCCATACCTTAGAGGATATGTGTAACACCCCGACTTTCCGAAACGTCTAAAATTACTCGTATCTCCATGGAAAGACAAGGAGGGTGGGTAATAAATTAAGAATGATGTGGTATGTCCTATTTTAAGTGTTCAAGTGTTGCATATCAAGTTTTTAAGTTAGGTAAGTGGCAAAATAAAATTTGGCGGAAGTTATCGTAAGTTCCTTCTTAAAGATTTCTTTGAAATTTGGGTCAAATGTCTTGAAGGTTTTCTCCCAATCTATAAAGATTTATGGGGCCCACAAACTATCTAATCGAAGGTCTACGAGTCTAGTTTCCAACGCATCAAACCGTTTGTTCATACGACTTCAGAATAGAGAGATATTCGCGTTTTCGTAGGATTGCGCAAGCAAGCACGAGAGGTGGGGCCCTAAGTCGGTGGAAAGTTGCATATATCTTCTTCTTCGAACTTTTTCTTCAATTTTAAGCTAATAACCAGAGAAATTAGAGAAACCCATTTCTAGGATCAAGTGAAGTATA